ATGGAGCACATCTAGTCAACCTTCAGCCTTCGGTATGAAAGAATTCTGCTGGGACCCGAATGAAAGCAGTAGTGCTCTCCACAAAAACAAATGGGACTGTCTCTGGAGTCAAAAATGATGAGGAAACAACCCCCATAGGGCTGCTGATGAAAAGTACTACTAAACAGCTGAAGAGGAGCACTGATTTATCAGAACAGTTTCGTGATTTTAGAAAGCTTGGAGGACAAAACCTCTACCAAACAAAAACCAGGCAAACAACGATGTAGGAAATTATAGGAAAATAAGACATACTACTATTAAAATTCATCTTAAAGGAGGTACAGAACTGACAGAACAAGAGAATATATCTGAGAAACATGTCTAGACCATAAAAAATAAACACATTTCTAACAATATTAAAATATGTCCATATTGATTCTAAGAGTCACCTCCCCACCATAGGTAGCCCACCTCCTAGCACAGCAGGGAGCCCCAGGTCCCTGCTCAGCACAAGACCCTGGATTGCCATCCAGTGCAATACTGGCACCAAACTAGCTGTTAAAGTATTTTCAGCATCAGCCATTGGCTCTAACACAGTGAGATATTGCCAGTCAAGGATGAGCAAATAGAGCAAAAGTAATCATCAAAACTATAATGAAAGGAAGCTTTGGAGATTTAAAGACGACTTGAATGCAAACAAATTCAAGAATGCTAATTACTTCTCAGACAAAATTCATGAAAGAAGACTGGATTTAAGAGTCAGGTTCATCTTTCAAAACCAAAGATTGGCCTGAATTCAGCTGGCCTAATCCCACATGCATGAAATGATTTTGATTTGTTTCTTTTCTGCTTGATTTTCTTGAAGGAAAAACCAGACTAAAGTACTGGCTGGATATGGCTATGTGGCAGGCCCTTGACAAAATGAAGCCATTCACTCTCCTGCCTGTTGTGTGTAGATGGCTCACTGAGACCCCTCTCTAGGTTCTTCCTAGGACAAAGGGGCTTCCTTGCTCAGTGATGTAATCTGTCATGTGAATGTGAATGTCCTCCACAGGCTTATGTGCTTGAGTCCTTGGTCCCGCTGGTAGAGCTGTTCTACCCCAAAGGTAGTCATGGAATCTAAATGGTAAACATAGGGTCCATGAGCAGGTCTTATGGGTTACAGGTCTGCTCAGTATTAGCAGTCTCCTCTGCTTCCTAATCTGCCTCATGCTGCAAGCTCCCATAGGCACAGCGGGAGCCCCAGTCACCATTTACCACACCTTCTCCTCCACAACACAGTGAGCTAGCATAAATCCTCTTTCCTGAAGTTGCTTTGTCAAGTATTTTATCACAGTGTGGATAAAAAGAACTTCCCTTCTTAATCAGCCTTTAAGGATCCATCAGTTCACCCTGAACTAGAGATAACTGAAACCACTCAGGGGATCTGCTTCAGGTCTCTGTATCAGACAGTGACTCCTCATTCAGCCCAACCCTGCTTTTCTAACTAGAATCCTCCTTACCTCCCCACAACACTCCCAGGGTCCGTGTTCATGATTTTCAATCTGAGAGAACAAGTTGTACTAAGAACTGAGAGGTAGGAAGATACCCAGTGATTTGGAGTGAGACAACCCAAGTGTCATCAGGGAACATGAGCCTAAGATCTGCCTGGAGACTGTAGGTCCTCGAAGTCCAGGTGAAGACAGCCGATTAACTGCATGGAAAGCTGAGAACATGAACACAAATCTCCCCTGTGTAAAAATGATTCTAGAAAAAGCATCTACTTTAAAAAAGACAAAGAAAATATAAAACTAAGAAAGATGCTAAGTGAAAGTTAGCAAACAGACTTCACTACACATTAAATGAATTTTATACAATAGTCTCAGAATGTTTCAAGACTACAAAAAAGAGGCGAAGCTATCAAAGTCATTTAGGAGGCCAGAGCTGTATCAGATAAAGGAGAAGATTCTCCATCAATCTCACCTAAGAAGATAATGTGGAAAATTCTGAAAATAACTTCCTTTATGAGGCGCTCTTCACTGATTAATAAGTGACATGGAAGAATAAAGAAATACAGAGGATTCTAGCATCTTTCCTTGCAAAGAATTACTAAATAAAATTTGAGTAATTCAACTAAAAAAAAACAAACTACAAAAAATGTGACATTACTCCCATCCAAGTATTAATCAGGCCCGACCCTGCTTAGTTTCCAAGGTCACGAGATTGGGCATGTTCAGGGTGGTAATGGCTGGAGACCAGATCCTCAAACAACCTTAAGAGTAAAAATAAAATGATTTATCTGGGCTAACTGCATGGTTTTAAAACACCCAAAGGAAAGTATAACCAAAGATTAAAGGGATCAATATCATTCTTTAAGAAAGAGTCCATATGTTTAGCTAAAGGGTACATAACAAGAAACAATGCCAGACAGGAGATACCTTCCTTTGAGTTGTTGGCCAGGGTGGCCCAAGAGACTCCCAGGCAGTAACCCAGCACAGAACTGGAAAAATGAGCACCAGACCCAAATCTTACCTAAAGGAACATTGGCAACTGATTGCTGCTACATGAGGAAGAGCTGATTTCCTAAATCAAGGAACTCTAGACAGGCTGACTAGATTCAGTGGATGGGCAAGCACTGGGGAACAGCTGGGGGTGCCAACAACACAGTGGACAGTAACAGGGATTACAGAGTATATGGGCTCCAGTGGAGGGGGGAGGAGGGGCTATGGGAAGGTGCCATTTGGGATGTGGGTATATAGAGGAGTAAGACTGTTTGGGATGTTCTGTATGAAATATACATTAAAAAAAAAAAAACAAAAAAAAATGAGTTATATCTGAGAAAGAAACATAAAAATTTGCTTCATGTTAATTAGTAGAGGTGAAAAACAGTACCAATGAAATCTACCTGAATATTTTGTATCCATGTTCAGGTGCCAAGGATCTCAGAAAGCAACTGACTGTGATTAGTAATAATCAGATACATATAGATTAGAGATACATGTGCAAACATCTAAATGTTAGTAGCATTAAAAATGAGTTTTTCTATATGAAACAGTACATTTTAAAATGGAGATTTTTTTTAAAGGTTAAAACCTCATTCAATTTTATACCTTATAGGGTTTATACTAAGTTCAATATTGTATAACTGTATTAATTCAACTGTGAACCTAAAAATTTATAGCCAATTTTGAAAGAGATGCATCTTTGCTCTGGAAATTGTTATTGAATATGTTAATGCTGTAATAAAATGCTTCTTCTAATCATGTGGTTATTAAATAATTTAAAAAATGTGACATTACTATGAATATCAAATGTCAGCAAGTCTCAAATTCTCCATTGAATGGACAATATTAAAAAAATGATCAAAATTAGATCAAAATTAGTTCAATCAAATAAAAATAGATCATCACATTAACTGAAAGTATTAATCAAATTGCTACTTCCTGAACAAGTTCAAAGCCTATAATTATAGCTTTATTATGGATCTATCTAAGTCTTCAATGACACAAGAGACAATATAGTTCACAGGGTAGCAGGACTAATGGCAGAGAATACTTCAGCTGTTAATTAATATAATCCAAGGAATACGAGGACCACACACAAGACGAAGATGAGGCATAGACACGCAGTCACAGTCAGTACATGGTTGAGCTGAGGCCTGATGAAATCCCTGCTCTGGACTTCTCTGATGAACCAATGGCTCACAAAGGCTGAAGTCTTTGGGTTAAGAACTCCACACAGTCCTGATACGAACACATTCATAGGTTAAACATTTTTCTTCCTTTATAAATTATAAGTAACACAGTAACACTATAAACAATCAAGTATTAGTACAGGGCTTATTGTGGGACAGGCACCATGCTAAGCTAGTAAAACTGTTCCTGCTCTTAATCGTCATTACAATTTTCTGGAGATATAGCACCACATCCTTCCGGATAAATAAGAAACAGAAGGTCTGAGAGGCTGCAGGTACCAGAGGAGAAGCTAAGCTTGGCTGTCTGAAGGATCTAGTGCTACAGCAAACACCATAAAACACGCTGAACACTGCCCAGTACACATACTTCAATGTAATCATTAACTGGTGTCCTGTGACAATCAGACATTGAAATCAAAGCACCACTTAGGGGAAAAATTGAGGTAGGCAACTAGTCATTAGGGGCCATCCTCCAATCCCACACAATCATCTAAACCAAAAAATGCACAAGAAAAGCAAAGTCTCCAGGAAAATAAACAAGCTGATAACCAAAATGGCATTTTCTTACACAAAACATAAATAATAATTACCTAGCTACACGTGAATTATAAGTTCAATCAATATTCTGACTAAGAGTCATTATGTTCTCTCTGCTTAATTAAATCATCATCTTTTTAACAAAGATGTAAAGAAATGGAAGAAAATTTACTCATGCTGGCGCAATTTAAAACACTTATTCAAGTGATTTTCTATTTATTTTGTGTGGTTTGTTTTGGTTTCTTTTTTGAGACAGGGTCTCCCTGTAGCTCCAGGTGGCCTGGGGCTTATAACCCACAGACATTTGTCTGCCTCTGTCTCCCAACTGCTGGGATTAAAGGTGTGCACCACCACATCCGGCTTTATTTTGTGGTTTTAAATTAAGATATTTTGCTTAGATTTTAAAACACATTCTGAAGCAAGTTTTAAACATATGAAGCAAGTGCTACCAGCAATACTAAAGAAAAGGTATGACAAGAACCAAAGGGAATGCCTTTCCAAACCTTATATCCAATACTGTAAGTGGGAGAGAAACTGAATACAGGCCACAGAAGAATCTATGTTGTTATGAACTCCTCCTTACACTGATCCTGCACAATAAACTTTTTCTGTCTGCCATAAGGGACAAAGCAAATTAAATCTACCTTTAATGTAAGTGTAAGTGTTGTACTGTGGTGTTGGGTCTGAAACCCAGAGTTTGTGCAGAAGGTACTGTTCTGCCACGGAACCATATGGCCAGCCTACAGTTAAGTTTCTCATTCTTAAATATTAATGGTAACAGTCAATGATAGCTCAACAATGTTATGGCTACCTTTGGTTTCATGTGGTGTCCTCACTTCACTTTCTGTTCTTTCTTCAGAATTTTCTTTGACTTCATCAGCACGCTGGTCTCTGAGAAAAATAGGCATTTCAGTATTTTATAAAAGAAGAATTTTAAGAGATGGTTCAGAACTGCATCTTAGCAACTGTTTTTCTTAACTTGAAGACAGATGGATAGTATCACTAAAGTGTTGAAAGAATTTTCAGTTTTACCACAAAGTAACGAATACCAGTAACATGCATAAATGCCCACTTTCTTCATTACCACTTTTTGGTTTGTTATTCAGAAAGGAGATTTTAAAAGTGAGAATGATATCAAGAGGTACTCTGGAAAATGCAGCTACTGAATATTCCAACTGCAATTTGGAATGTGCAATCAGGGGGAATTTTACTTGTACTGGTTAGCAAGACTGTAATTCAAAGAAAGAAATGTTTTGCAAGTCTCTACTATTTAGTTCAATCACTTTCCATTACTTGGTCCTGGGATTTGGGGTTGAAGCTGTGATTGGCCCACTGAGGTCACCCCAACTCTAGGAAGCTTTTCCTAGCTTGATCACCCTCTGCTGAACTGACTGCACCTCTTTTCAACCAGGAGTGAATCAATTCTAAACTAAACTGATCCAGGATGCTCTAAAATGAAAGTGAATCATTAAAATCTTAATTCAGATCTTTAACTCTGAGATCAAGAGCAAAACTATTTCTTTCAAAATAAGGAGCTAGGTAGATAGTACATACAATATTTTAAAATCTAAATTTCTTGGAACTAAAAAAAAATTAACCTAATCTAATCCATTCTCAAGGTTCAAAATAAAAGGTTTAATGTCTTCTATCTAGAATGCGCTATCTGGCATACTGCTTTATAATATTCTGTCTTGAATTGTACTTT